ACCATTCATGTTTAATATAATTATTTAGATGTTAAAGCTTAAATATTCCACATAATTTTTTGTTTTCTGTTTAATCTCTTTTTATTTCTGTTTTCTTTTTCTGTGAGTTACTTAAATATATGTGTGATAAATAGTGATAAAATATTTAAATAATATTTTATTTTTATTTTATGTGTATGAATGTATTGCCTGCATATAGGTAGGTGCACCTGTGTCATGCAATGCCTACGGAGGTCAGAAGAGGGTGTTGAATCCCCTGGAACTGGAGTTATGGACAGTTGTTAGAGCCATGTGGGTGCTGGGATAGGAACCCAGGTCCTCTGTAACAGCAGCCAGTGCTCTTAACTACTGAGCCATCTCTCCAGGCCCTTAAATATGTTTTTCATTTTATTTCAATTAGTCTATTGTTTTGAATATATCTCTATGTATAGCTTTTTTGCATGTGGTTGTTGTTTTGGGACGGAGTCTCACTATGTAGCCCTGACTGGCCTGGAACTTGTTACATAGAACAGGCTGCCCTCAAACTCAAAGATTCACCTGCTTCTGCCTCCCCAGTGCTGGGATTAAAGGCACGTGCTACCATGCCTAGCTATGTGTACCATGCCTAGCTACGTGTGGCTTTTTAAACGGCCGCTTTAGGCACTGTATTATTACAGATATTAGCTTACCACAGTCTACTGCTTTCACCATTCTGCCTGTTTGAGTGAAATACTAAAGTCTTACCTCTTTGCATCACTTTATCCTCTGTTGATAAGATAATTGCTTTCTCTTTAAAAATTTCCTTTCTGTATATATTAAGAGCCACATTGGACAATGTTATCATTTTTTGTTTCAATTGTCAAATATGACTTAAACAGCTAAAGATGAGAAGGGAAATTAATTTGTTTTTATCATTTTTTTCTTCTGTTTATTGAAAGATTTATGATTTTCTATCTTTTTAGACAATTTCATTTAGATATTCCAACAGGAAAGTCTTCTAGAAATTAGTTCTCTTAACCTTCTATCATTCCAGAATGTGTTAGTTTTCCTCTCTATTTCTGAAGGCTATTTTCCATGGTTATGGAATTTTAGGTGAACTTTTTTTTTCAGGACTTGAAAAATATTGTGACACTTCCTTCTGGTTACCATGGTTTCTGGGGAGAAATCTGAATTGTTATTCTTCTATAGGAAATAGATTTGCTGGCTGCTTTTAATATTCTTTGTTTTGTCCTTTTTTGTTTTCATAAAAGTTTGATTATGACATATCTGGAATGCATGCCATTGAATTGTATTCCCTTAGAGAGTCAGCCAGCTTCTTTAATCTGTATGTTTATATATTTCCCACTTTGGGGAGTTTTCAGTGCCCATTTCTTTGACCACTCTTTTGCTGTGTCTTCTTTCTACTGTTCCTGGAACTTTGGTGACATAAATATTAGCTATTTCATTAATATTTTCACATGCCAGAGCCAGGTGCGGTGGCGCACGCCTTTGATCCCAGCACTTGGGAAGCAGAGGCAGGTGGATCTCTGTGAGTTCAAGGCCAGCCTGGTCTACACAGTGAGTTCCAGGTGACCTGGGGCTACAGGGAGACTCTGTCTCAAAAAGACCTCCCCTCCCAAAATTTTCATATGCCTATGAGGATCTCTCTCTCTCTCTCTCTCTCTCTCTCTCTCTCTCTGTCATAATTTCTGTTCTTCTGCCTTCAGAATCACTCTTTCCCTTGTCTTCTCTATTCTAGAGTTAAGCCTGTCTGTCTTGTTCGTCTGTCTGTCTACACTTCAGCTATTATATTTTCAAGCTCCAAAATTTTCAGTTCTCCTTTCATGTCTTTGCTGAGACTTTTGTTTCTGAGGCTTTCTATCATCTTGTACTTTGCTTCACGTGTGCCCATAATTTAATTACTAAAGTGCTTTCTGCCTGTTTTAGAATCTCAGTCAGATCTTCAAACATTGGATACCTCCAGCTGCTGTCCTCAGCTGTGGACTTTTTTTCACTGACTTAGACATATTTCTGCTTCCTTGGCTGAGTTTGTTTGTTTATTAGAATCTAATCATTAGGGGAAATGCATTTTAAGATTTGGGTCTTATTAATCTTGGGCTTGGACCTTATTGACTTTGGTAGGTAAACAGTGGTGATGCTTCATCACTGCCTGGTGGGTGGAAATCCAGGAATGACTCAGAATTAGAGGACTCTGTTGGGCAGGGAGGTTTCATGCTCATCTGTAGGTCTGCTGCAGCTCCTTCCTTGTTGGGAGGAGGACGGATGGCTCATTACTTCCAGATATCCCATATGGGAACCGAGGCCTAGGTCTCCACTGATGGCTGTAGGGCATTTGTTACCACCTGGTGGGGATTAATATCCCAGTTACCCACAGCCTTCTTGGACACCTTGGAGTGTGGGGGGATGTCTGAGGCAGCTTTACAGCCTGGCACAGTTCTAAGTCTCTCCACCTGGCCCTGGCTAGAGAGTGGTGGGTCTCTGGAGCTGCAGGCTTCCCTGTGCTGTGTGGCTGAGGTAGGCTGGTTATTGTCTATAACTGTGTTTCTATGCTGCCCCTCGCCTGGCTCTTTGTTTGCAGACAGCAGCTTTCTGTGGAGTTTCTTTGCCTGCATCAGTTTGTTTCTGGGTTGCCAGCTTCCACATCTAGTCTGGGATGGTATAAAGAACCCCCTGAAATGGAGCATGATGACTTCTTTGAGCCCTGAAATCACCAGTGGGTCTCTCTTCTCTCCAGCTTCTAGAATCCTGTGTTTACTGTATGTTTGATGTCCAGGGTTCTTAGAGAGGATGGAAAAGTACATCTGTTCCATCCTCCCTCTTCCCTCTTCTTATTAGAAACAGTTCTTCATTTATGTGTTTAACTGGAAATCTTTCCAAATGGCTGCTAGAGACGAACTGATGCTTTTGGACTGTTCTTTAGTGGTCCATGACCCAGAGGGTTATACAGCTTTTCCCTCCTGTGGAGTGAACAGATAGGTCATCTCCCATATATAGGTGTGTCCCTTTGCCATATATACCATGAGTTCATTTTCAGAGGGATACCAAATGTCCTCTCCTTAACAGTTCTTATTGTACCCCAATTTCTTACATTTCTGAGAGCAGGCTACAGGGTTAAAAATCTATCTATCTATCTATCTATCTATCTATCTATCTATCTATCTATCATCTACCTATCTATCATCTACCTATCAATCTATCTATCTATCTATCTATCTATCTATCTATCTATCTATCACCTATCCATCTACCTATCACCTATCTATCTTATTTAATTATTTACATGTATTTGTGTACCTGTGTGAGTTTAAGTGCAGGATATGTATGCAAGAACCTGGGGAGGTCAGAAGATGGGTTGTCAGATATCCTGGAACGAGTAACAGGTGATTGGGAAGCAACATGTGGGTGGGTGCTGGGAACCAAACCCGGGTCCTTTGCAAAAGCAGTAAGTGCTCTCAACTGCTGAACTATCTCTCTAGCCCCTCAAATTTGAATTTTTTAACTCAATTAAATGGGGACAAATTAAGCCTATGTTAATTAAAGTAATGGGAACAAAGTATCAATAGACTGTTTCCATGGTAACATTCAATCCTTGTCCTCCACAGGGCAGGAACAAATCTTCTGCTCCTTTGAGCTGCTGGTGCACTAGCTTTTTTAGAGAACAGTTTGACATGTGTTCTAAAACTTTAAAAATCATGTATGAAGATATCATAATGAAATTCACTGTCTTGTACTAATGTGTTAAAAAACTACACTTACCATTGCTGTATATCTATACTAAGAAAATAGCCTTACAATAAGAAAATAATTAGGCAAAAACATTCAAGGCAGTATTATCGGTAAGAAAATTTAAATAATATAAATATCCAATCAAGAAAGGTAGATTAAACTTAAACTCTGTTCTCTTTATCAAGTGGAGTATTATATAGCCCTGAAGGTGAATGTTTGCAAGGAATTTATAGCCATACAGAAAGTTCTTGATAAAAAAAAATGCAAGCAAGAAGTGTATGAAAAAACTATTATAGAATGTAACTACCCGCATCAGAAACAGCAACATCCTCTCAGAGCAGTGGACTAGGAGAAAATGTACTGAGACAGCTAAGAGACTGTTTGCATGTGAGAAATATGTTTATTTTTATTCTTTTTTCCCTTTGCTTTTATAGATTTTTCTAAATTTTCTTTTTTGACTATGTGCTATTTTTATAATGGAAGAAAGAATAAAATCTGCAGGTTAAATTGGCAGAGAGTATTTTGTTCTTTATATTTAAATAGCCTATCCATGTCCCTCTAAGACCTGACATGTAAGGTAATGTCATGGTATGGTGTCATGCTATCACTGAAATCCATTGGAAAGGAATGTTACCCACATTTTCACACCAAACAACATACTCCAGAACACTGAAAGCTCTCATGGTTCTGTTAAAGAGAAAAACATCTGAGGGCTGGGGATGCAGCTTAGTTGGTAGAGCACTTGTCTAGCATGCACTAAGTCCCGGGTTCTGTCTCTAGCACCTTAACCCTGAAGTACATGCCTATAGCATGGAGGTGGAGGCAAGAGAATCAGAAGTTCAAGATCAACCTTGACTGCATATTGAGTTAGAGGCCAGCCTGGGATACATGTGATCCTGTTCCCAAAAAAATTAAAATGGGGGGGGGCAGGTACTGGGGAGATGGCTCAGTGAGTAAAATGCTTGTTGTGACAACATGAGGACCTGAGTTTGGATACCAAGCATCCATGTAAAACCCAGATTCATTGGAGCATGTTTGTAACCCTGGCTCCAGAGGTATGGAGACAGACAGATCCTGAGGGTTTGCTGGCCAGCCTAGTCTAGCTAAATGGCAAACTCCAGGTTTAGTGGGAAATCTTGTCTCAAAAAAATAAGATGGAGCAGGATAGAGGGAGACACCCTATATTGACTTCTGGCTTCCACAGGCATGCACAGGCAAGTGTTGCTCCCTCCCCATGCATTACTGCCCCCCCCACATATCTGAATAGCAGCTCTGGGGCAGGCATGCACCTGTACCTTCTCTAGCTGGGATTCACTCTCTTCACAAGCTTCCCTGAGCAGGTCACGGGCCCGGGAGAGGTCTCTCTGCTTGTAGGCAGTGTGAATGTCTTCTGTGCTGGGGGGCCGTACTGTGGAGTCATCACCCGGCGCAGACAGTTTGCTGCCCATATCTCTGGCACCTGCATGGGAGGAAGTGAACACACAGGGTCACCTTCACTGTTGGCAAGATCTGGAGAGTCATCACAGATTACAAGCAAGGACTGCACTGCCCATGACATAATTGTGGGCGATATAGAAAGAAAAAGAATGGCTGGAAATGATCCTGTCTGTAAGCTCCTGTTTTCTCGGTGACATGTAGCCCTTCTGGAAGACATTTCCTGGGGAATTTGGGTACAACTCAGAGGAGGCTGCAGGGGACTACCACCTGGGGATAATCCAGGGCTCTGGGCTTCAGGAAGTAGAGAGCAGGAGAGATGGACGAGGGAGCTTTGGTGGGAAAGCTGGTGGTTCTGGCCAAAGGGCCACACTGCTGTGTCCCTCCAGGGAAGAGAGCAGCTTATGCTCAGGATATGCAAACCTATACATTCCACAAGTTCTTCCCTACTAAGAAAATGCCCCAAAGGTCATGGGACTTGAGATTGGCAGCCTTCACCTCTGCACTAACATGTAACCCTAGTGTCTCCAGCAATCCCTTGAAATGCTGGCCTCTAGACATGCTTGGGCCATGTGACTGGCCCACCCTATCTGTAAGATGCCTTGTGGTTCTGCCAATCTTGTTATCTGAATTGTGGCTTACTGTGAATATACTCCTGTTCACTTTTGTGGATGCTAGCCTGTCCTGGTGGAGGGGCATGTAGGATGCTCTCAGTTAGATGAGCACCTGGCTTGAGAGGAGAGGCCTAACTTGCAGACACCTGTAGTGGTGCCGAGGGCTCAGTGAGTGTATAGGTCCTTACTGAGCATCTGGACACAGACAAGTACAGTGTGGGTTGGGAAGACATAGCTAAAGGAGGTCATTTTCCCCCATCAGTGCTCCACTCCAGAACAGGGGTTCATCATTAGGTGTCTGAGCTTCCAAAAGCTGACAAATAGGTTTCAGAAGTTCTTCACACATTTTCAAGTTGTTCACAAAACTCTCCCATGTCTGTGTAACATTTTCTGGGAACAAAATTCAAGACTTCCACCAGATTTCCAAAGGTTAAGTAAGGTCAAAAGCTTTATCTCTACGGGTGTTCCAGAAAAGACTGCAATGATCTAGAAGGTGTATTCTGAATTGTGTTGAGTGATGGAAGAAATGAGATGAGAATGCTATCATTGTTGGCTAAGTTTGCACAGGAGAAGGCAACATGAGGCTAAGCATGGGGCTCAGACATCCACCCGCCTGCCTCTTTAAAGGGATGAATGAAACAGTCTTTAGCTGGTTCTTTTTACTTGCTTTTTTAAAAAAAATATTATTTTTATTTTATGTGTATGAGTGTATTGCCTGCATGTATGTGACTGCACCTATGTCATGCAATGCCGTGGAGTTCAGAAGAGGGCTTCGGATTTCCCTGGAACTGGAGTTAAGGACAGTTTGTAGTCGTCATGTGGGTGCTGGGAATTGAACCCAGGTCCTCTGCAAGAGCAGTCAGTGCTCTTAACCACTGAGCCATTTCTCCAGCCCCTTCTTGCTTTTTTAAAAAATGTAAATACTGAGTAGGTTGGCCTCTAAAACAGATGTTACAAAAGTGAATCACATAATGGCAGACAACATCTGGGAAAAAATTTAAGTATTTAATCTCTTTGCAATGGCGTGGGTTATAGTTTTGTTCTTAGATGTTCCCCAAGGGCCCATGAGCTAGAAGCTTGGACCCCTGGGAGCTGGTAGAGCCTTTAACAGATGGGCCTAAAGGGAAGTCTTTAGTAACTGGGGGGCACAGTCTTGGGGATCTTGGGCCCTGGGCCCCTCCTCATTCTCTCTTGTGCCCTCCTTGTCCATGAGTTAAAAGTGGTTTTGCTTCATGATGTGCTGCCTCATCACAGACCTAAATGGGAACAATCAATCATGGACCAAAGCTATGAGCCGAAATAACTTTTTTCTCTTTATAAGTTGGTTATGTCAGGCATTTTGTTATAATGAAAGAAAACTATCTAACAAGGCACAAATTTACAAGGTTAGAACTAAATTTAACAAATAATGAGTAAGATCTGAACACTGGAAATATAACACTGCTGAGAAAATTAAACAAGATCTGTATAACCAGAAGGCCTTCTACATTCATGGATTAGAGGCTCAGTAGTGCTCAGATGTCAGTCCCCCTGGCCTTATGTGTAGATTCGACTTAATCTCAACTATGAATCCAGTTGGACTTTTTTTTAATAAAACTCTAAATCTGATTCTCAAATTTGTATGGAAAACCTAAGGAATCTAGAATACCCAAAGCAATCTTCAAAAAGAGAGTGGGAGAATTTATACTACCCATTTCAAGACTTACCATCGAGGTGATATGATACGGGTACAAACAAATAGCTCCACAGGACAGAAGAGAGTTAAGAAATAGACTCATGGGGCTGGGGTGATGGAAGATGGCTATATTAGACTTATCAAAAGTTCAACAATATGCTTATCAAAAGACACCTTTTAAAGTTGAATAGGCAAACTGTAGATTGGAATAAAACATTTGTAAAACATATCTGAAAAGAAATGGTATATAGATTGCCACAAAGCGTGTAAAAAACCTTCTACAATATAATAATAAAAAGACAAATAATCCATTTACAAATGGTCAGAGATTTGAACACTGGAAGATATTCAAAGAATATCAGTATTATTAGTTATCAGGGAAATGCAAATTAAAACCACAATACTCACCAGAAGGGCTATACTTTAAAAAGACTGGAGCAACAAGAATGCTCAGACCTGATGGGTTATAATATAAAATGGCATAATTACTTTATATAAATAGGTCTGATGGTTTCTTTTAAAATTGAACATATACTGATTTATGATCTACAGATTCCATTCTTAGATAGACTCCATGTAAGCATGTCCAAAAAAATCACCAAGAATTTTCAGAAAAGCTGTGCCATATTTCCAAGGTGCAAATAGCCCAGGTATCCATCCATAGGAGAATGCATAAACACCCAGTGGGGCGATTATTAAATAATAAACAGAAATGAACTATCCATCCATCAGATGGCTGATATGAATCTCAGAAACATAATGTTGAGTGAAAGAAGCCTTGTAAAACAATTCTATTTCTATGATGCACTAATTCAGCTTAAGAAACAAGACACATCCAAGAGCCATTCTTGGGGTGAGGGGAAGCAGTGAAATTTATCAGGAAGAGGGCATGAGGACATTGCTTGGGTCAAGGGTTTCAAGTCTTGATGGAGTTTGCAGTACACAGGTGCTATACTTGCCAAACATAACAAAAGTCCATTTAAAATATGTGCATTTCACTTTATAAAAGTTCTGTCCATATATGCTATTATAAACATCATCAAACCTTAGGCAACAATATGCTTATGTTGGTAGCTAAGGGTGAAATGTATAGATGTTGGTAACTTACTTTAAAGTCATTAGAAATAGAATGGGGAGGAACAAGAGGGAAGAATTTTTTTTTGTCTTTTTGAAGCAGGGTCTCCCTGTAGCCCCAGCTGTCCTGGAACTCACTAGGCTGGCCTTGAACTCGCTTGCCTCTGCCTCCCAAGTGCTGGGACTTCAGGCGTGCACAACCACACCCAGCAAGAGAGCAACTTTATAATTGCCTGCGCCAGCCTCTAAGAGGTGGGCATAGGGGTGTACATTGTTCAGTTTGTTCAATGTGACTACATGTTTGAAAATTTCCACAGTAACGTGCTGGGGAGTGAAGGCAATTCATAATTTCGTACCAGCCCACCAGGGACATATAGGAAAAGCTTCACTGCCAATGCAGAAAAGCAAGGTCAAGTTGCTGACAGAAACAAGGCCCTTAATAGCACCCAGGATCTTTACAATGACCCTAAGTTGCCACGATTTGACTATTTCCAAGGCAACTGTTCTGAAAATTCTTGAAGAGGGTGGCTATGGGGCATGGCTGGTAGCAAGGCTGGCGGCATTCCTGAAGCAGTACAGATTGCTGGGTCTGAGCGGGAATTACTGTTTTGTTTTTTTTTAATTTATTTTTTATTTTTAGAAAGACAAGAAAAAGCTTTGTGCATAAGTGGCTATATGTGCAAATAAGGTAGCTTCGCTTTCCAACACACAGGACAGTCCCCATTAATTATTCACAGCCCGAGACCCTGAGACAGCTGAGAGCAGGAGGGAGAAAGGCCATGGGGAGGCGGGGGCAAGAAGGAGGCAGAGTCAAGGGCAGCTCCTCCATCAGAACAGGGCACTTAATTATGTCATGGCTCATCTTTCAGAATTAAACAGTCCCTTTATCTCATAAAAAGCAAGTGTACGTGTATCCGCGCAAGCGGTTGGGCAGATGCAAAGCTACCGATTCTGGTCCCCTTGGGAACAAACACAAACAGCTAAATCTTTAAACTCAAGTATGGGGATGCTATGAAGGTCGGACTTAGGTTATTCGAAGGTCCTATACCACACGTGAAATTACAAGAGTGATTTTATTTGAACATGGTCTTTAAATAACGCCTGTGTGCTGTGTGTATGGAGTAACCAAGGTAAGAGTGATTAAAACCTGCTGTTTTCTTCACGTTGTTCAGTCCTGGGTTATTCAAACTTGATTTTCTTAAGTTGCATGGACATCTCACATCCACTCTCACAGACCTTATGAGCTAGGGCTCTACTCTGATCTGTTACTGGAAGGACATTAGTGCATATACATTTAATTGAACCTACTAAAATCTCATTTAATTTCTGGAAATTGCAAATACAATGGTTAACATTTGTTTAGATTGAAAGAAAAATATAAGATGCCAACAGAGAGCACTAAGGATTGTGAGGGATGAGTGATGGAACTAGAAAGCGTTTCCTGCTTGATTTTCCAAGTTTTTGTAATGAAATGTGTTGCTGATTTATTTTATATGGTAAAGAAATTACACAGCTAATGAACATATATCCAGCAAAACAACTAAATAATATAGAAATGATCACGCTAAAGTCAGAAGTCTCTTTTTACCATGATTAGACACCTGTTTCTATGGAATTAATTTTTTAATAAAAATGCTACACTTTTATATCTGTGAATCAGTT